AATCAGCCATTGAAAACCCTATGGACGGGCCCAGATAGAATGGGAGAAAAATGCAGAACAGAACTCAAATTCTTAAAAAGTCCAGACTGACTGGACCAGTTGAGACCAGAGGACCCCCTGAGACCAAAGTCCTGAGATACTCTTTAAACCCTAAACCAAAACTATCCCAAGATCACGTGTTAGTGAAATAACAGACCGGCACACAAAATAAAGGATATTACCATGAGTATGGCGCTCCAGTAAAAAACCATCTATGTGGGCCCAAAACGTCAACAATCACTCCAAAGCAAAGATAAGAAGACAAGGGGGGCAGGGAAACTAGAGTACTGGAAATGGAACATACAGAACAAACTTAATGAGAATGTTGACGTATTGTGGGAAATGTAAATAATGTCAGTGAACAACGTGTGTAGAAACAAACCTGATTTGCTGTGTAAACTTTCACTAAAAACACAGTAAAATATATATAAAAATAGAAAACCTCCTGGACCACAGTTGTACTCTGGCACACAGAGGGTTGCCATGAGTTGGAGTCAACTTGACAGCAACTGATTTTGGTTTTATGTCAATATACAGAAAGGGGATACAATGAAAATCAAACTGACATTGGAGATTTCTGGGGAGGAAAGAAGAGAGCCATATTTTCTCCGAATGCTTCTGTCCTGCGTAACTCTTGTTCCACAAGAACACATTTGTGGATTTTGGATATAATTAGAAAAAAAAGTACCGGTCATAGTTGATGCCCTAGAAAGGTCAACCTTACTAGAAATCTAATTAGCATAGGGGCTTAGTCCGAGGAGGGAGTACCCACCTCTACTAGGGGCCATGAACCTCGTGAGGAGATAAAAAGGTCAAGGCAGTGTAAATTATGAAACTGTCATTTACCTCAGAAATGAAACACAACTTTTAACTTTTAGAACCTTGAACATTCGATTTCTGTGTTTACTAAATAGCTAAGTATAGTTTCATTCTATAGGGAGAACAAAAGGAGAAGAGAGAACCAGGGTCACAAGGGTAGTTAACAGCTCTAGAGAATAAGAACCAGTTGCTGGCCAGTCAGTGCTGACTCATGGTAACCCCAGGTGTGTCAGCGCAGAACTGCGCTCCACGGGGTTTTTCAACAACTGATTTTTCAGAAATAGATCACCAGGCCTTTCTTACAAGATGCCTCTGGGTGGACTCAAACCACCAACCTTTCGGTTAGCAGCTGAGCGCATTAAGCACACTTTTTACAACCTGTATCTTGAGGCCTCTTAAGATACTCCCTTGAAAATGTTACATTTCAGTACGGCATTTCTTTTTCTTGAACACCAGCCAGCTCTTCAGGCTTACTCACTGAGTATTAGCCGTAACTGAGGCGGTATGGCTCTTGTGGTTGTTACCCAGAAAAGGGTCCTTTACAAACCCTGAAGTCATCTGACTCACCATGTAAAACTAACTCATTGAGAAAGGATAATCTGTTCATGCTGATGAAAAATGGGCCTAAATTAGAAACACCACCACCCTTGAATGTCATAGACACCACCCTAATTACCAGTATCCATGGCTTTCTCCATAACTCCAAACTTTAGTGACTTTAATTATTGCTAAATAGGACAGGTATCACATTATATAAGGAACTCTGGTGGTGAAGTGGTTAACCACTCAGCTGCTAACCGCAAGGTCGGTGGTTTGAACCCACTAGCAGCTCTGCAGGAGAAAGACCTAGCAATCTGCTCCCAAAACCCTATAGAGCAGTTCTACTCTGTCCTATGAGGTTGCTATGAGTCAAAAATTGACTTGACAGCCCACAACATCACTATATAAAGACATATGTGTTGGAATTTAATGCTTTTTCTTTTCCTTCTCTCTAGGGTTCTATCTAGATAACAACCATCTAGCTATAATGGCTTTTTAAAAACGGCTTTACTGAGCTGTAATCCACATACCCTATAATTCACCATTTAAAGTGTGCAATTCAATGGTGTTTAGTATATTCAGAGTTGTGCAATGACTACCACAATCAATTTTAGAGCATTTTCACCCCTGAAACTCTGTACCCAGAAAGCAGTCATTTCCCATTTCCACCTCCCCCAACCCCTAAAAAAACTAGTTGCTGCAGAGCTGATTCCGACTCAGTGTGTCAGAGCAGAACTGTGCTCCGGAGGGTTTTCCATGGCTGTGATCTTTCGGAAATAGACCAGCAGGCCTTTCTTCTGAGGTGCCTCCAGGTGGACTCAAACCCACTAACGTTTTGACCAGCAGATAAATGCTTAACTGTTTGCACCACCCACCCAGGGGATCCCATCAATCCTTGGCAACTGACTAATCTGTTTTCTGTTTGTATAAATTGTCTATTCTGGACAGTTTACATACATCGAATTGTGTAGTATGTGGTCTTTTGTAACTGGCTTCTTTCACTGGGCATGTTGTCAAGGTTCCTCCATGTTGTAGCCTGTATCAGAACGTCATTCCTTTGTGTTGCCAAACAATACTCCATTGCAGGGTGTCTTAGGCATCTAGTGCTGCCCTAACAGAAATAGCACAAGCGGATGGCTTTAACAAAGAGAAATTTATTTTCTCACAGTCTAGTAGGCTGTAAGTCCAAATTCA